TATCTATGCGGAAGTACGGTATAATATCATTGTCATATATATATATATATGCTTATATACCAACTGTATATAATTTAGTAGGCGGTTACTCTTAGTACTTCATTCAAAAACGCAGAAATCTTTAGCTTCCAGTCGGTACTTCTATTTTTTTTTATTAGTTTTTAGTTTATCGTCTAGTTTATTAGTTAGCTTGATTTTTAATTCTATATAGTGTTTTAAGCAACCTACAGGTGTTTGTCCGCTTATCTTATTAAAATATCTGTCCAAATGCATAAGAAGCTGCTGTGCGTTTAAAAAAATGGAGAAAGGCCTATCTTTCAAGGTTTTATTCCTCTCTAAATTTCGATATAGAGTCAACAATGGTTTGTAGCCTACTTGCAGGTACTTTTTGCGCAAATCCTATTTCCTGCTGGTTGTGTTTTTTTCATTTACCTATCGCGCCCAACGTTTCTGTTATTTAAATAATTATTTCCCACTCTTATTTTCTGCTTTTATAGGCCAAACTTTTTAATTTATCTTTCCTTTCCTGTGATATGACCCGACCATAAAACGCCTTTTAACACAGCCATAGAACCACGTGACCAGCGTGCGACACTACTTCGCCATGCCCACGACACTGACATCAACTCACGCGGGCAGCAAGAACTGATTAGTCCGTCGGTCGATGAGGGGCAGGCCAGTAAGCGCGCTGAATTGCAAACAATTACGACGGCCGCAAATGGGGCAAAGGTCCCACGAGCCCACCAGCGGTCAATCTCACGGTCAGTCAGCAGCGAATAGGCAGGTCAAAGTTTGTGCGTCGAGCAAGGATATAATACTAGGCATACTGCAAGGCTGAATCTGTCCCGACAAACAGGAACAATCACCACGTTACTCTGACGATGGAACCGATCGAGTGTCCGAAACTTCAGTTTGAATATACTTCGGCCCATGTCCTCATCCCTTCTTGTTCACTTTCTTTGGGGTATGATAAAAACGATAAATAACTACAATCGAGACTATTTTATGGAGGGTCGACGACGACGCCAAAGAAGTTCACATTTTGTAAATTTTGTTGGTGAACTCAAAAACCATTGTCGTATCAACACTTTTCCGCCAAGTAAGACTTGAAATAAAAGGTCATATAAAACAACAGAGCCTAGGGGGAAAAGATTGTCATCTCTGCAAATATTTGCATCAGCCATAGTGGCAAAACACAGGCATGGAGCCAGGTTGCATCCTCCAGCCAGCAGTGCTGGAATCCACCTCATGCTTCATTCAAGCAAACACTTCCAAATCGAATCTTTGTGCAGGTTACTTCAGTTTAAGGACACACACAAAAAAAACACTTAAAAGCGTAAATAACAAATCAGACATCTGGGTGGGGGAGGGGGGGCAGTGTGAAACAAGTAAAAATCTCCAAATACCTTCTGTTCAAGCAGCAATCAGCTGCTAAAGTACAATACATACAAACAGGTGAAAGAAGGCCGATGAAAGCTTGGCTGTGTGACAGGTAAAGAGGCATGGAAATGCGGTGAGATTCAATGCCTTTGACCGGAAAGACTTAAGACCATTATCGCGGATAAATTGATAGGGAGAGAAATTAGGTCCAGCTGAGATCATATTGTTTCCAATCTGCAGGCGGGGCCAAAAAGACACGATTACCTTGGAAAAATACCGATACAACACCCGCATATGCTGTTCGGGGCACACCATACTTAAAGTCTTGCATAACTCCCAGATACTTCGCCGCCAGTATGAAGTCTGTCTGAGTCCGATAGTCTACACGGTATACCCGCTTCCCACCAGCACTCATCGCTGCTAGACTGCCAAGGGCGGAGATACTAATTGGTTGGGCGTCCTGGTAGACCTGACGATGGAAGCGCGGATTGTAAATTTGAGGAAAGAGGTAAGAGAGATCAAGCTTCAAGAAGGGAACATGCTCCCTGTTGAGTTGGATGAAACGCAGGTGTGAACTGTAAAACTGGCCGCCTGATACGCCCGTGCTGCCGAAGGTAATAGTTCGACTGATCTCGGGTCGGATGCAGGAACGATTCCTCCGAACCTCGGGAGTTCGCAAAAACTCGTCCCAGTAGGCGGGCGGCCACTTGTCGCGCAGTTCCTCCCACAGTCGCCTTGTTAACATCCAGCCGAGGCCAGGGAAGAAGTCAGTCCTAGGTAAGAGTAGAGAACATGGCTGCTTTAGAATAAGGCCGTTCCTTAAGATACATGGACCTGCGAAGCTCTACGGACCTCTAAGAAGTAGTCGGCTATGGATCGGTTTAAACTGTGCTAAAAGTTGTGATAATAGTAGTCAGGGGAGAGAGGACAAAAATGCGCTTTGTGTTGAGGATGAACATCCAAAACTTTCAGCAAAAAATGGCTCCATTCACTGCGGCTAAGGGATAAGGTAATAAAATACTGAAAAATCTGGAGGTTTTTACATGAAATCCAGATCTATTAAGCAGGCAGGTCTAATCTCAACTTCTGGATTGCCGTTTCTTTACAGGTGAGGTGCGTGTGTGTTCAACCATCGATTTCGATGAAGTCCACCAAGTGCACCAATAGGTTGGCATGGAAGGTGACAGTCTCAGATGTTAGCTTTCAAGGGATAGAGGACGTAGTTAGCGGATCAGCACTATTCACCTTCACCCGGAGTCTCGAAGACTAAACAGGTTCCAGCGTAGACTGCTTTCCACATGCAAGCCGAAACACCGCCTAACTTAGCCTTTAGTGACAGTAGAC